GGGTGTCGGTGGGGAGGGTGGATCTGCACCCCGGGATGGGGTGTGTGCGCGTGGGTGTCGGTGGGGAGGGTGGGTCCGCACCCAGGGATGGGGTACACGCGTTGGCGGGGCGGTCGTTGGTGATGAGAGTGTATTTGCCCCCCCACCCCGGGACGGGGGTCGCGATCATGCGTGTATTCGCAAGGAGGGTGTACCTGCACCCAGGGATGGGGAGGGTGTTGGTGGGGGGGCGTTGGGGAAGAGGGTGTATCTGCACGCAGGGATGCTGCGTGTGAGGGTGGGTGTTGGTGGGAGCGTATATCTGCGCCCAGGGCTGCTTGTGTGGCGGTGGGGTGTGGGTGAGCGGGGTGTATTTGCAGGCAGGGATGGAGCGTGTGCACGCCTGTGTTGGTGAAGAGGGTGTATCTGCAGCCAGGGATGGGTTTGTGTGTTGGCTGGCGGGTATATTTTTTTACCCTGGGCTCGGGTGTGGGTGTTGGTGCTGTGCGTGTGGTTGCAGGTGTGCAAGGGGATGTGCTGGGGGGCGTTGCACCCGCTGATGGTGCGAGGGTGCCTGCGCGCGTTGGCAGGGGTATGGTTTTGCCCCTCGGGCGTGCACAAGTAGGTGTTGGTGGGGAGCGGTTGCACATCAGCGGCGTGCAAGCATGTCAGCAGCTGTGTGTGAGCGGGTGCGAAGGGTGTCTTTGCACCCAGGGATTGTGCGCACGGGGTGTGGGCGTATGTGGGCCTGGGGGATGGCAGTGGGGGGTGTTTAAGTGTGCGCACGTGCGTGTGTGCGCACGCCGGGTGCTAGCAGGGAGCAGAGAGTGCGTGTGTGCGTATGGGTGTTGCGTGGGCTCCCACATTGTGGGTGCCCAGTGGGGGAGCTGGCCGGGTGTGTGCAGGGCTCAGGTGTGTGTGGGTGGTGGTGGGAATGGGGTGTGGATGCTGCTGGGGGGGAGCTGTGGCCATCCAGGGGTGGTGTCCAGCACTGGGCGTCCGTGTGTCCACAGAAGACTGCCGGGGGTCCCTCCGTGGGTCCTGCTGCCGCAATGGGGAAACTGAGGCAAGAGGCGTCGTGTCCCTGCCTGGCATGGATGGCAGTGCCGGCTGTGCACCCTGGAGCATAAGCCTGTGCTTGTGCCAAATCCACAGCTGTGGGGAGGGTGTTGTGGGTGTTGTGTGGGTGTGTGGTTGTGGGTGGGTGGGTGCTTATGAGGACTCTGGTCTCAGGGTGGGCAGGTGTAGGGGTGTTGTGTGCGGGTGTGCACAGGGTTGGGGTGGGTGTGCGGCTGCATGTGGGTGTGCAGTCATGCTAGGACGGATGTACGGTTGTGCGTGGGTGCAAGCGTGTGGCTGTGTAGGTGTACGGTTGTGCGGGGGGGGGTGCTGAGGCAAGCGTGCAGCTGTGGATGGGTGGACGTGCGTGGAGGATGCTGTATGTGGGTCTGTGGTTGTGCTCAGAGGTGTGCAGGAGCGGGAGTGCGGCTGTAGGGGATGCGTGGTTGTGCGTGGGGGTGTGCTAGGATGGTCGTGTGCCTGTGTGGGGTTGTGCGGTGGTGTGACTGTCCCCAGGCCGGCTGTGTCCCCTTGTTGTGAGTTCACCCCCAGGGCTCTGGCAGGGTGTTCCCGTGATGGATGGCTGCCTGTACCCGAGCGCCTGACTCCCTGCACCGTGTGTTGGCTGCCTAGGGACCCCAGGGGTGACGTGGGCACCAGGCTCCCGTGGGCACCCGCTGCTCCAGCGTCACCCAGCACCTCCATCTCGGCTCATTCGGATGCGTGGTGGCCTGCCAGATCCTCTGGCTGTCGGGTGCAAGGAGGAGGAGGGTGACACCAAAGGGCCAGAAGTGACCCTTTCCCACGGGGCAGGTCCCACTGCAGGGGTTCACCATGGGCTGGCTCTCCCTGGTGCCCAGGTTGTTGGGGGGCTCTGAATTTGAGCAGGTGACAGTGCCCAAGGGGTCAGGCGGTGGTTTAGCAGCCAGTGGTGACCCCCTTCAGGCTGTAGCACACTGGTGGTTTGGCCATGGGGTGCTGTAGCTGGGGTTCTGTGGGGCACCCACGAGTGATGGGACTGGTGGGTGCTGGAACACCCCAGACAGGGTCTCCTGTGGGCCTGGGTGCGTCAGTGTGTCCTTGGGGTGTGCAAGGATGGATGGGGGGGGACATGGGTGGGAGCGGGGTGATGGGTGGATGGATTTGTGGGTACTATGGGGGTGGAGGGATGGGTGCTAAGGGGGTGGAAAGGCAGGTGGCAGGGAGATGGGGGATGGATGGGCTGGTGTAAGGGTGCTATGGGGATGGGTAGGGGTTGGGGGGTGGATGGATGGGTGTTATGGGGATGGATGGGTATTGGGGAATGGACGGGTGAACTGATGGGTGAATCCTAGGTCCAGATGGGTGGGTGGGTGGTTGTGTGGGTGTCAGGGGTAGGTGAATGGACGGATGGGTGTTGGGGGTGGACAGATGGACGTCAGGAGCAGGGGGAGGTGCCTGGGTGGTTTTTTGGGTGTCAGGGGATGGATGGAAGGCTGTGGGGCAGCAGCGGGTGGCTGAGTGACTGGGTGGGCACAGGGGCACGGTGCAGGGGTGCTGTGGGGACAGGCAGACAGGTGGGTGCCGGACACCCGGGTGCAGGGGGAGGTCTTGGTGCCCAAGCCGTCCACCTGTGCCATGGGAGCCAGTGCAGGGGGGCACTGAGTATCCTGGGGTGGGCACAGGGTGATGTCAGGGGTGCCAAAACCCCCTTCTGGGGGAGTCCACAGGCCAGGGCCGTTTCTCCCCGGCACGGTGCGGCAGCCTTGGGGTAGGTTAGCTGGTCCCTGAGGCCTGACATTTATAAACATCAGCCGCTCCCGGAGAATCAATACAGTTTAATAACCGGCGAGCGGAGACGGGAGACACATCAAAATGACACTCTGCGGCTCCGTAAATGTTATTCTAAATCATACTCGCTGGGTTTATTACATTAAGCATACAGCAGCGGGCACGGGAAATTTATTCCATCAAAGGCCATCGCACTGGTAAATGGGACTGGCAGGTCGCTGGAGGGGGGGCAGCCCCCCCCCCTCAAAAATGGGGTTCCCTCCTCCCAGCCGTGGCAGGGATGTGGGGGACAGGGGGATGGTGGTTCTACAGGTCTTCGTGCCATCACAGCCTCCTGGGTTTGGGGTGAGCTGGATCCTGCCCCGGTGCTGGGGTTGGGGTGGATGTTTGGGGGACCAGTGACACGAGGGCAGCCGGGTGGCCCCATGTCCCTTGGTACCACTCCACGGCTCCTGGGGACCCGGTCCCCTCCCTGGAGCATCCTCAGCTCTGTGCTGACATTTCTCCCCGCGTTTCCCTGGAGACGAGGCGGTTGCCGTGGAAACCTCCCTCCTCTTCTTCCTTAGCCATCCTCTTCCTCACGGGGGGGGGGGGGGGGGAGTGGTGCTGCCCCCACCCAGCCCCTAAATTTGGGGACCCCCTCCAGGGGTGCACAAGGAGAACCCTGGGATGGGGGTGCACACCTGCGTGGGTGCGACAGCAGCACACGTGTCCTCGGCTGTCCCTGCGTGTGCTTGAGCCGTGTACTTGTGCGCACAGCTGCCCCGTCATGCGTGACATCCCGCCGTTGCCGTGACGACCCCATCGAGCACATGGCTCGGGCTCTGCAGCATCGCGGGGGAAGCACGCTTGTTGCCGTGGAAACGGCCGTAATTGTAGCATTTTTCGGCTAAATGGGGGGAAAAAGGAGGGGGAGAGAGGAGGAGAAATGGCTCCGTGGGGCAGCAGGCCAGGGACGTGTGCGCCGTCCCAGCGTGTCCCTCTGCACACGCATATCATGCTCGTGGGTACATGCGGCAGCAACGCGCGAGAGGAGGCCGAAATTGGGTGAGAATCGGGAAAAGGAGAGTGGTGCCGGTGCTGCTGGAGGGGCCGGGGCTGGCCGGGTGCTGCCGCCGCCTCTGCAGTCCTTTGCAGTCGAGGAAAGCAGGCAGGCGGCCAAGGCTGGCACCGGCAGCCCGGCGGGCGCCTGCGGCACCGGGTACCCGTCCCCAGGGCTGTAGCATTGCCCTCCTCCCGCGGCATCCCTGGTTCGGTGTGGCCACGAGCCCTGGCTCTGTTTTTGCAGGTCCCTCCCCTGCTCCCCACTCTGTCCCCCTGCGCCAGGCTGGGGCCGAATCCTGCCATTCCCCGTGGAAAGGGTTCGGTGGGGGCACGGCACCGCCACTGACTGCCCGCTCCCCTTGTGTGTTGCAGATGAACCGCCCCATCCAGGTGAAGCCTGCTGACAGCGAGGGCCGAGGAGGTAGGTCCCCCCTTCCCCGGCTGCCCTGCACGGGCAATGGGGTGGAGGGCCAGCCCAGGGGGTGATGGGGGACACGGTGGCATCGTGGGGGCTGCCACGGGGAGGTTTGTTTGCAGAGAAACATGCAAAAGGAGCTGCCTTTGCCAGTGGCGTCTGAAACTGAGCACAGAGCAAATGTGATCTTGGCTCTCCCTGCCCAGCCAGCTGGGGGGAGCGTCCTGACGTCACGCCGAGAATGTCCTGATGTCATGCCAAGAACATCCTGATGTCATACTGTGAGCATCCTGACATCGTGCTGGGCAGAGCGCCAGCCAGCCGCTCCCTGACAGCCCCTTCGTCTATCAAACAACCTAATTACCCGCCCAGAGATGCCTGTGGGGACCCCAGCAGAGTCGGGGTGCAGGAGTTGGCCACACGTGGCCCAAGCCCCTCTCAAATAGAAACTGCTGGGCACCCCCCCCCCCCCCCAATCTCCCGCGGGGGTTTGCAGCTCGTGGGGCCACGGCATTTCAAGGCTGAGTCAATAATTTGGGCAAAATTGCAGGAATCGGATCAAAACTCCCTGAAGTTCCCAGTGCCGCAAGCAAGCTCTGGGCGCGTAGGCACGCTTGGACACGTGGGATGCTCACATAGGGCCGCCTGCCCTCAGCAGGACAGCTGGGGTAGATATCGCCCTAATCAAAGCACGTTATTAAACACGCTGCAAGCTGGTCCCGGCACGTCCCAGAGGGACCCGGCAAATAAATTACCCACTTACTGAGCGTAATTGGTGAAGGATTAAAAATCGATGGGCGAGCTCAGGCGCCTGGCTCTGGCCCCCTCGCCCAGGAGGCGATGTTCGGCCACCGAGCCAGCTCCCCTCGGCCGCCTTGGCCGGGAGATGGTTTATGTTTAACTAGACAACACAGAGCCCTATTCCCTTAACTAATTTTCCTGGTACCTTAACGGACAGAGCATTAATCGTCTCCTGCCATTATTTATTTATTTCTCCGGCAACGCTCTTGACAGGGCACCTTATTTTCTTTGTCAAATGCCATTAGCGCGCAGCGGGAGCGCGCGGCTGCGCAAGACAGATGCTGGTAATAATCATGAAATTCTCATTATTTACTCTCCCTTCTCTCATGTTTGGGTTATTTATGTCCCCTGGGCACGGCCGGAGGCTGCGGGTTATTCTGCGAGTCAATCATACAAAGGCAGTCGCCACTGTTTTGCGGGCTCTCTTTGTTTCCCAGCCGCATCTCGCATCAGTGCCGGGGGAGCCAGCTCCTCCATCCCCAGGAAAAGCCCCAGCTCTGGTCCCTGAAGCAAGAGCCAGCTCTTCGCAGCTTCACCCCTCAGCAATTTCCCTGCAGGAGAGGTTTTTCCACCCTGAGCATTTTGTAGGATGGAGGTGATAAACCCTGTGTATTTGCTGGCAGATCAGCATTGCTCTCTGCCCAGGCTCCGGTGTTACCCGGCTCTTTCCCTTCCATGCGCCTCTTGCAAACCGGGGATGAGGGGGTGGGATGGTGGGTAGCATCCTGCTCTCTGAGGGGCTTGGTTTTGTTTTTAGAAGACAGGAAGCTCTTTGTGGGTATGCTGGGGAAGCAACAGAGCGAGGATGACGTCCGGCGCCTCTTTGAGCCTTTTGGCCAGATTGAGGAGTGCACCATCCTCCGAGGGCCTGACGGAGCCAGCAAAGGTGGGCTTTGGGGGAGCCGGGTGAGCGCTCTGTGGGCTGTCGGCACCCATGGAGTGTGGGAGCCGCTGGCTGGTCAGCATTGGCTCCCGCAGTGGCTGAATCCAACCTCTCTTGTGTCCCCTCTCTGCCCTTAGGTTGTGCCTTTGTGAAATATGGCAGCCACACCGAGGCGCAGGCTGCCATCAACAGCCTGCACGGCAGCCAAACCATGCCGGTAAGTGCCAGGCTCTCGCCCTGCCCCGTTCGACCCCATGCTGCCTGCATAATCCAATCACCAGCTAATTTGATCCTCTGTCTAATTAGATCAAAATCCTACAGACCGGCAATTTGTCGGCCAGATCACCCCAAGGTTCATCCTTGCCTGGGCGCTGAGCTCTGGGGCTGAGCGCGCAGGGCTAATTCCCTCCACGCTGGAGAAAGGGGCTGTTTAATTAACGTCGAAGGTCAAAATTGTGAACAAGGAGGGGAAAAAGGAAACAGAGGTCAGGGAGCTGCTGCCAGGGAGAAAAAACTGGCTATAATTAAACCTCACATCGATTGCTGGTTGTTGCTGCCAAGCCGGGCAGCATCCCCGGGGCTGAGGATGCTGTGGCTGCTGTGAGCCAGTGGGTCCCTCCCCGGAGCAGGGAGACATTTCAGGGGCATTGCCGGGGTCCTGCCGTTCAGCCCCCTCTTCCCCCTGTCTCAGGGTGCCTCGTCCAGCCTGGTAGTGAAGTTTGCAGACACCGATAAGGAGAGGACCCTGCGGCGGATGCATCAGATGGCAGGGCAGCTGGGCATCTTCAACCCCATGACCATCCAGTTTGGCGCCTACGGGGCCTATACGCAAGCGGTAGGAGCTGGCACCGGCTGGGACCTGGGGGTTTTGGGGGAGCCCCGCGAGTGGGGGGGGTTGGTTTTGCCCGTGAAAGCCTGCGTGAAGTTGTACCAGTGCCAGTGGGTGCGGATGCCCGTCAGGGTTGGTGTATCCCCATTTAGGGGCACACTCAGAAGGCTTCACCCCCCAGGTGAGGGTGGCATGGCTGTAGGGTGCAGCAGTCCCATGTATCGCCTCTTTTAGTGTCACCTAGACCTCCTCCTGTCCCCGGGTCCGGCAGCGGGTGGCATTTATCCCTGCGAGCCCCCGTGCGTGGGTGCAAAGCGGGAATGCTAATTTTTCCTCCCCTGCTCCCCCCTTCTCTCTGCCACTCACTCACTTTCCCCTTTTTCCCCCTTTATTTCCTGAAGATCATGCAGCAGCAGGCAGCCCTGATGGCGGCTGCGCAGGGGACCTGCCTGAACCCCATGGCTGCCATCGCCGCCGCCCAGATGCAGCAAATGGCCGCCTTCAACGTCAGCGGGCTGGTGGCTGCCCCCCTCACCCCCTCTTCAGGTATGACCCCCCTCCCTTTGCTCCCCATCCTGCTCAGCAACCTCAGGGGGGGCTGCTGGTGCTGACACCTCCCTCCTGCAGGTACGAGCACCCCCCCTGGCATCAGCACAGCGCCCGTGCCCAGCATCGCCACGCCAATTGGGGTGAACGGCTTCAGCCCACTGCCGCCGCAGACCAACGGGCAGCCCGCCTCGGAGACCATCTATACCAACGGCATCCACCCCTACCCTGGTAACCCTCCTTGGAGCCTTCCAGGGGGCTCCGCCACATTCCCTCGGGACTGGGGACACGTGCTCGGCTCACGCGGCAGGCTCCGGGGGTGCTCCCCACCCCAGGAACACGCTGGATGAACCAGCCGTGCACCGATCCCCATCGAAATCCCTCCTCCTGTGGCATTGCCGCCTTTGCAAGCAGGGGGATGCTCTTGGCTCCAATGAAAGAGCAGGGAGCAGCTCTGCCCCTCTGCGGCAGTGCTTGGCCGAGAGCTCTCTCCTGTGGGAGCTGCTCATCCCCGGATTTCTCTTGCTTATTCTCTCTTCCTTCTCCCTTCTTTTCTCTTCCCAGCTCAAAGCCCCACGGTGGCCGATCCCCTCCAGCAAGCCTACGCAGGCATGCAGCACTATGCAGGTCTCAAACTTTGCTTTGCACTTCTTCCCTCTCTCCCCTCTTTGCTCCTCACCCTTATTTTTGGGGGGTGAACGTCACCTTGGGGTTGAACCACAGGATTGGGGCAGCGTGCTTGGTCACAGATTAATGTGGTGAGCATGGGGTGCCGTACACTGGCAGGAGCTCCGGGGCAGCGGTGGGGGTGACACTGATGCAGAGCACCATCCCCTCGTCCCCAGCAACACAGATGCGCTCCCGGCACGGCCCTCCGTGCAAATTTTGGATGGAGCAAAGTGAGTTTTAATGCCCACGGGTCTGAGATAACTCCGTGGGGGAGAGCTGGCGGTGGTACCTAGGAGAGGGGGCGAGGTTTGGGCAGTGATGGAGAGCTGGCTCCATGCTGGATCCTGCCGACACGCCAGCCTGCTGGTAGAGACGGCCATGGACGCACCAAGACATGAAAAATCCTTGGATGTTCATCGCACGGCCGAATCTGATGGCCAAGGAGATGGGCCACAGAGAGAAGGGAGTCAAAGCATCCTGCGGAAGTACGTCGAGCCCGGCAGCCATTTAACTAGGAGCACTAACAGCGATTTTCAGATTTTCAACAGAAAATCAAGTTTTGGACCCCAAATTGTTCATTTTTTCAACCAAAAGTGCTGGCTTTCCTCAACCATGAGGCTCTATTACTGCTGTCACCAACGTCCCTCCTGGGAGAGCCATTCCTGCATCCCTGGCGTGCCGGGAGGCCGGGGCCATGCCGGCAGGGGTGGGAAGGGCAGAGCCAGCAGTCCTGGGGCAGGAGAGGGACCTCCATCAAGGGTGGCAGCGGGGGACATCCCTGTCCCCAGCCCTTCCCGGGGCTGGGGTGGGTGCCGGGGTCTCAGCTCCACGTTTCTCTCTTCCAGCAGCGTATCCCACCGCCTATGCACCCATCAGCCAAGCTTTTCCCCAGCAAGCACCCATCATCCCGCAGCAGCAGCGAGAAGGTGAGGGGTTGTGGGGGGCACCCTGCCGTGGGGCCGGTGGCTCTTTGCTCCCCCCCCAGGGTGACCCCCGCCTCGCGGCTGACGTGCGGCTGTCCTTTGTGTGTCACCCAGGTCCCGAAGGCTGTAACCTGTTTATTTATCACCTGCCCCAGGAGTTCGGGGACGCGGAGCTCACGCAGATGTTCTTGCCTTTTGGCAATGTCATCTCTGCCAAAGTCTTTGTGGACCGTGCCACCAACCAGAGTAAATGCTTTGGTAAGTCCTGGTGTGCGGCTCTCCCCGACGTCCCAGCTCGGAGGTCCAGCTCTCCCCAGTCCCCAGCTCAGGGGTCCAGTTCTCCTCAATATCGCAGCTCAGGGATCTGGCTCTCCTCAACATCCCAGCTTGAGGATCCAGCTCTCCTCGACATCCCAGCTCTCCCTGGTCTCCAGCTTGGAGGTCCAGCTCTCACTGACATTCCAGCTCAGGCCTCTGGCTCTCCCTGATGTCCCAGCTCAGGGGTCTGGCTCTCCCTGATGTCCCAGCTCAGGGGTCTGGCTCTCCCCAATGTCTCATCTCGAGGGTCCAGCTCTCCCCAGCATCCCCAGCTCGGAGGTCTGGCTCTCCTTGGTGTCCCAGCTCAGGGGTCCAGCTCTCCCCAATGTCCCCAGCTTGGAGGTCTGTCTCTCCCCGGTGTCCCAGCTCAGGGATCCGTCTCTCCCTGATATCCCAGCTCGGGGGTCCAGCTCTCCCCCGTCCCCAGCTCGGGGGTCCAGCTCTCCCCCGTCCCCAGCTCGGGGGTCCAGCTCTCCCCCGTCCCCAGCTCAGGGGTCCGGCTCTCCCTGACATCCCCAGCTCAGGGGTCTGGCTCGGGCAGCACCGATGGGTGACCGAAGCCGTACCGTGGCTGGAGCAACGCATCTGTCCGTCCTGGGGCCAACGGGCGGGATTTTTGTCCTGCACCGTGCCAGGACAGAAGGACGTACCCTCTTGCTGTCCCCTCTTATGCTGTCCCCTACCCTATGTCCTCCGCCTCGTGCACCTGCCGGCATGCCTGCCAGGGAGGGCTGGTCACCGCTTGCCGCTGCCATGTCTGCTCTGCTCACGCGGCTGAGTGGCACCACTGCCGCCTGCAGACCTGTCACTGCAGTGTCCCTGTAGCCTGTGTCACTTTGGTGGCCCCACAAATCCCATCACCCTGGTGTCCCCATAGACCCCCGTCACCCTGGTATCCCCACAGATGTGCAGACCTTGGTGTCCTTACAGACCCTGTCACCTTGGTGTCCCCACAGATCTGCTCACCTTGGTGTCCTTACAGACCCTGTCACCTTGGTGTCCCCACAGATCTGCTCACCTTGGTGTCCCCGTAGACCCCGTCGCCCCAGTGTCTTTGGAGGCCCCATCACCTTGCTGTCTCTGCAGACCCTGTCACTCAGGTGTCCCATGAGCCCGCACATCCCATCCTGGTGTCCCTGCAGACCACTCCAGTGTCCCTGTGGACCCTCTTATGCTGGTGTCCCCACAGACCCTGTCACCTCAGTGTCCCTGCAAACCTTGGTGCCCCCAGAGATGCCATCAGCCCATCACCCAGTCCCCTGCAATCTGGGGCTGTGCTGTTACCCCACGATCCCCCTCTCCCAGCACCCCCAACCTGGGGCTCCCGCAGGAGCGTCCCACGGGATTTCAACGCCTCAGCTGAAGCAAAGTGGCAACCTGCGATGTTTACAGTGACAAACTCCTCTGTCACCTCGCCCCTCGCCCCCAGGTTTCGTCAGTTTTGACAATCCGACAAGCGCTCAGGCAGCCATTCAGGCCATGAACGGCTTCCAGATCGGCATGAAGAGGCTAAAAGTCCAGCTAAAGCGGCCGAAAGATGCCAACAGACCCTACTGACCCCTGCTTACCCTGGCCCTGCGGAGAGGTAGGGGGGGGGAACACAGGGGGGCTTGGCCCTGCTGCACCCTCTGCGATGCCCTGGGGGACCTGGCGGTGGGGCTTGGCTCACCTAAAGCATCACAGGTGCCGTGTTTTCTCCAAAAATGCCCTCGAGCCTGTGCGGGGGGGGTGTCTCTGTGCCTGGGACCGTCTGTGTGTGTGGGCTCCCTCTCTCCATCCCTCTCTCTGTCCTTCCTTCCCTCCATCCCCCAGGACACAGGCTAACGGCCCCTTTGTTGTTTTGCAGGTCGGGCGTCCTGTGGTGTCTGACGACTTTCCCCTTCCCCAAGTGCAGTATCCAAACCCGTAACTCTCTTTCTTTGCAACACATCCCGGAGGAGGAAGAGGAGGAAGAAGAGGAGGAGGTGATGGAGAAAAACGGCGAAGAAGAGAGCCATTCTGGTCGTAGCTTTTCTTTTCTTTTTTGATTTTTGTTTCCCAAACCGGTCTTGTTTGTTACTTAACGGGAACGAGAGAGCGAGGAAGACAAGGAAGGAGGAGACCAATGCAGCCCTGGGGCTGAGATTCGCCGCTGGCCGATTGCCGGGACTCACCAAATCCCTCGCCGGGAGAAAGGACGACGGCCCCGGGCGGCCGGGATACGATCTACCTTTGTGTTTTTTTTTAAAGCACTCATTTGCTGCTACCGATTTCCCAGGAGAAACGAGGAAAAGAGGCTCCAAATGGATTTTTAAACCAAAGCCGGTGGGACGGGACCAGCCTCGGGCGCTTCACCTGGAGGATGCTTGTTTGGAAAAAAGAAAAAGGGCAAGATTTTCTTTTTCCGCACGTCGGGAAAAAAAAAAAGGATCAAAGGATGTTGGACTTATAGAAGATATATATAAATAAGTATATATATATATATATCCCATGGAGCAGGGCGGCGGGACACACGCTTCCCCTGCTTGTCACTGGCACAGGGACATAGGATTACTTGTTTCAGAGTCATATCATTCCTTAGAGTTTAGGGACCAAAGGACTATTGCTTTTTTTAAATATATCTATAAATAAATTAATTTAAAAAAAAAACAAAACACACAAAAAAACAAAAACAGGAAAGAAGAAGAAGAAGAAAAAAAAACAGAAATCAAGAAGGTTGAGAAAAACCTTGGGCGTTAAGAGCTGCGAGCGTTTCCTAGAGGGCTCGGTTTTGGGAGGCCAATTCGCGGGGCTCAAGGGCTCGGTTTTGGGGGGCTGATTTGTGGCCGGGGATGGGGGGATGCAGAGGGGGGGTTTTTTGGGGATCTGTGGTGGCTCCCCCAGCCCCGCAGCCCAGGCGGGAGCCAGCAGCGGGGGAGTCAACCAGCTTGAAAGAGCCCCTTCAGTCGCCTCCAGGAGAGGGCGAAGCAATGCGGTTCTTTGCGTTTTCAGTTGGTTTTGGGGGATTTTGGTTTTTTTTTTTTCAGCCAAAAAAAAAAAAAAGAAAAATGTGAGGTTTCGGCAGAAACAAAGCGAAGTGAAATAAACTTATTTTGTCAAAATCGTCACCTTGGTTGGTTCTTTGGAGCAATTGCTGCCGCGTCCCACCACCCAAATTACCCCGAGAAGATGATACCGGGGACCCCTTTTTGACCAGCTTGACTCCGGCCGGGCCAAAGCATCTGCCAGGAATTTGGTGAAGCCGGGAGAGGAGCATGGGCCTCTCTTTTTATTTGCTTTTTTCCCAGGAACTACCATTTTCTGGAGGAATTCACCGTGGCTGCAGAGGGAACTGAGGCAGGACCCGGCCCCTGTCGTTTCGTTGTTCTTTCCGAGCAATGGGGGAGCTTCTGGAGGACGTTAACGTGTCCCGTGGGATGTCCCCTCGCAGCCACACCCGCAGACGAGCGACTGTGGTGATCGTGAGAAAGTGGCTTGATTTAAGGGAAGGAAAAAAACCAAACCACCCCAAACCCCACAAATTTAAGCAAAAAAAAAAATGGGATGGCTGGCAGGGTAGGTGGCAAGGGGATAGCCGCCTGCCTGGTGTCCCCTCTGCCTGGGTTTAGGTGGCCTTTGGGGACATCGACGTCAAGCAGCCAGTGCGGGACGAGCAGTGGTGGACAGATGTTGGGATCCCTCCGTCACCTCCCCGAGGGCAGGAGACACCAGAAGTGACGCTGAGAGTGCGCCCACTGGTGTGATGAGCCTGTTGGGTCTCAGCTGGTGACTGTACCCAAACCAGGACATTTTAAAAGTTGATTCTTAACTTTCTTTATAAATCCTGGTTGAAAACAACGCCCGTGCTTCTGGCGGGGTGGCAAAGGGCTGGTTTGGGGTATTTATTTTTATTTTTTAAATCCGTCGGACCCTTGAACCCCTGGTGAGGGACCCCCACAGCCCTGGCCGGTGTCCCCGGGTGGCTTCCGGCTGATGCCGCAGTAGCCACCGTCTCCCAAGGGCTGATATTTTACTGCTGTGGCCTCGTGTTGCCGTGACCAACCTGGGGAGCCCCAGCACCGTGGGGGACCTCGCTACCACTGCCAGCCCCCCACCACTTCCCGGGGGTCCCCACGCTGAGCCCCAGCAGCCTCCAGGGCTTCTTTGATGGGTTTTCATCCGGGTTTGGGCGTAGCAGGACGCACCTGTGCTGGCGCCGACTCCGTATCCGTGTAGTTATTGGGATTGGCAAGGGCTGAGATGAAGCGCAGTCCCTGGGAGGTCTCCATCTCGCTCTGCACGTGAGTGAGTCTCTGCAGCATCACTGGTCCCTGCGGGGGTCCCGTCCCCTTGGTGTGGTCCCATCCCTGAGGCACAGTCCATTCTCCATGGTGTGGTCCCTGCTCCATAGCACGATCCCTTTGCCATGGTGTGATTCCCTCCCAGCAGCCCCCTCCCCTTCCCAAAGCCCCATCAATTCCCTATGACCCTTTCCCTGGGATCCCATCCTTCCCCTGTGACTCCATCCCTTCCCCACCATCCCATCTCCTCCCCACAGCCCCAGGCCATTTAAATAGGTTAAACTACACCGACACAGATTCCTTTTATCTTTTTTTTTAATGCGTTTTTTGGGTTTGTTTTGGTTATTTTTTTTAATTTTTTTTTTTTGCTTCGGTTTCTCGTCGTCAATAAAAACGCCATCGTTGCCAAGGCCAGGAGGGGCGGCCACCGGCCGCGCCAGCCCCCGCAGCTCCTTCTCCACGCTGCCACAGGGTCGGGGACACTGGGGAACGGGACGGGGAGGGGACAAGGGACCGCTGAACCCGCCTGGTGCCCACTGGATGCTTGACGCCTATGTACAGGGTGGAGCCACCGGCGTCAGCCCCCGTGTCTGCCCTGCCTGGGAGGCTCCAAACCCGCCCATCCTTTCCCCTGGCCTTGCCCGGGGTCTTTGCTCAGCACCCGGGAGTGTCCCCGGGGGTGGCCCTGCCGCCGCTCAGTTTGTGTACACCTGAGTCCCGATCACACGCATTATCTCCTTCTGGATTTTGGGATCCTGAGTATTGATATTGGCGTCTCCCACTTGGCCGTCTTCATACCTGGAAGGGGAGAAGGAGGGGTGAGGGGGTGTCCCATGGGTGTCCCACGGGTGCCGGTGAGGTGGGCGCAGCCCAGGACTCACACAAAGAAGAAGCGGGTGCAGACGTGGTCCGAGACGGGGCAGACCCAGATGTTGCCGTGTTTCTGCAGGTCCTTGGAGGTGATGACTGCCGGGGGAAGGGGCTGTCGGATGGGGGGGACGGAGGTCCCTGCTGGGCGCAGCCCATGGTGGGGACCCTCCCTCCTCCCTCCTCCACCCACCCGGTGAGCCAGGGATGTGGGTGCCGCCTGTCCCCCCCGTCGCGTTGTCGTGTGTCCCCCCCCGGCATGTCCCCGCACCTTCGCAAAGCGCGATGCAGTTCAGGTTGCGGCTCTGGAGGAAGCGGGACTGGATGGAGCGGGTCTGCGGGGAGAGCAGCCGGCGTTACCCTCCCTGGCCGGGCTCGGCACACCCCGTCCCCAGCACCCGTGGGTGCCATGTCCCCATCCTCCCATGGTGTCCCTCGGCCCGTCACCTGGGGGATGGTGTTCATTCGGTTGTACCTCTGCACCAGCTCGTCCTTTGAAGGCATCCGGTGCTGCCCTTTCCCCATCCCTGAGGAGAAGTGAGGCAGTGGCCGTCACTCCCGGGCAGGGAGCACCCCCAGGGTGACACAGGGACACATGCCACAGACGGGGACGGCCACACTGGGTGCTCCCGCCCTGCGGCCAAACCGTGGGAACCCCCCAAAAGTGGGCACAGCAGCTTTTGGAGCCTCAAAAACGTTGGGGTTTTAATTCCCCAGCTCATCGGAAAGCCCCAGCCTGGCTGGGAAGAGGCCGGTGCAGGCGGGAAGGATGCAGGATACTGCCCACTCCCACGCAGCTCCTCCGGCCAGCATGATGCCGAACATCCCCGGGGCCCATGCAGGGAGTGGGGATGGGAGCGCAGGCAGGACTGGGCAGCGCAGGCAGCCTCTTACCTGAGTATCCAAAGGAAATACTGGAGATGGGGCTCAGATAGATGCCCTTGCCATAGGCTGCTCCATGCAGCTTGCAGGAAAACACCAGGGTGAGCGATGCGGGGTCACCCCGACAGCTTGGGCACGGTGGCGGAGGCAGCCCGGCCTCTGCAGGCAGCGCATCTCCAGCTGCCTGCATCCCTCCCTGCCTGCCTGCCTGCCCCAGGGAGGGGGTGTCGGGCACAGGGGAGCGTTACCTGCAGTTTGGTGTAGGAAGCGTTGACCAGTCCGTTGCGGAGGATGGAGTGCCAGTTCTCAATGTGAGAGCCGCTGGAAAAAGCCAGCCCCACGTCAGCCTGCCCCACGGCGCCCGCTTGGGGGGGCTCCTGCCCCCCGCCCCCCGCAACTCACTGGAAAGCAAAGGTGCTGCCGTAGAGTTTCTTGGCAGTGCGGAACCGGGCTTCCTTGGCTGGGGGGCTGCTGAGCAGGAGGAACTGATGGGAGGTGTGCATGAACTTCAGCTGCTACCAGGGGAAAGGGAAGAGCAAAGGCAGAGCCAGCGGGGAGAGAGGACAGACAGACAGACAGAGATCATGCACGGCAGCCCGGTCCCATGCCCGTCCCGGCCCTGCTTTGGCCCTCCCGAGCTTGCCAGGAGGGCCCGTGGCATTCCCCCATCTCTCGTCCCCTGTCCCACAGCCCATGACAAATATCCTCCACCCTATATCCCATATGCTGCCTCCCATATCTCACAGGCTGCAGACCCCATCCCAAAGGCTGCATCCTACATCCCAGACCCTTACATCACCCGCCCTGTACCCTTACATCCTGCATCCTGCATCCTGCATCCTCCATCCCACAGCCTGCACCCCATACCCTATGTCCCGCATCCCTTATCCTACATCCCACATCCCACACCCTACGTCCCTTATTGCATATCCTACGTCCTGCATCCCATATCCCATGTCCCAACCCCATATCCTTCATCCCACAATCCCATACCCTGTGTCCTGCTTCCCATACCCTACATCCCGCATCCTATAGCCTGCACCCTGTATCCCATTATCCTACATCCTGCATCCCATATCCTCCATCCCACATACTGCATCCTACACTCCCCATCCCACCTCCTGTACACTCCATCCCACATTCCATACCCTCCATCCCACACGCTGCACCTGCACCCCACCGGGAGGCCGGCCAGGCCCCTTACCCTGCTGAGGGGCAACTTGACGATGTGGGATCTGTTGCTGGAGATTATCCTTGGGAAGAGGAGGAGGAAGAGGAGAAGGAGGAGGAGGAAGAAGGTCAGACAGGGCAGTCCCATGCTCCCCTGGGAGTGGGGCTGAGCTGGAAGCTGTGCCAGAACCTGCCCCAAGGCTGGTGGATGGTGGTGACCCCCCCCAGCAGAAAGGGGCCAAGAGGGTCATGCTGGGGGTGTCCGGCTGCCCCCCACCCCATCCCCTATCCCGGGGGATGTGGAGCAACAGGGATGGAGGTGGGGCAGCAGGATGGGGCAACAGCACCCTCGGCCTTACCACTGCAGGAGGGGATGGGCCAGGGGGTCCAGCTTGTCCATCTGCTTCTTGATCTCCAGGTAGGACCCCTGGCAGAGGTGAGAGGGGGTGCGGGTGGGTCCCCCAGCACCCACCCAACCGTGAGTGGATGGAGATTGACACCAAAACGCCACCCCCAGCAAAAGATCCCGCACCGAGGGGATCTCACACGGGGCCACGGGTGGCGTGGAGCCACGCCGGCGTACCTGGGTCATCTCCCGTATGGACATCACACTGTCCAGGGCTTTCTGCAGCCGCTCATAGTTCTTCTTCTACACGTGGGGCAGGAGAGAGGTGGCCATCAGAGGGGTCCTCGGGGCTCCCCCTGGCCCAATTGCCCCTGGCATGGGGGAGCGTTGCCCCCTTGGCACTTACCTTGGGGTTGAAGGCAAGCGTTTTGGGGTCGTTGGGGTCCACCACAGAAGGATAAGGCTCGAAGATGATGCTTTTGCGAGGGGACTCCAGGGCGGCACGGCACATGGCCACCAGCAGGTCCACCACCTTGGGGACAGAGCGTGGGGTGAAGGGACAGCACCCTGTCCCTTCAGAGGACAGTGACGGTGTGGTCACCTGCCGCACGCACCCCTACCTCGGCGCCCGTGGCCACCTCCTCTGCCGCGCCGGACATGACGCCCAGGGTGTAGAAGGAGAAGACGCAGAGCTCCCGGGTGCACACTGCTGGCTGCGGAGGGGACAGGAGCCACGGGGAGGGTTGGGGACAGTGACACGGGGTGACAGCCCGTGCCTGCCCAGTCCCCATTTCCGCACCTTGAGCATGGAGCCATTCTGGAAGACGTGCTGCTCATCACACACCACGCAGTACTCGTTGAGCGTCGGGATCCGCTGCTCTGCGTACTTCATGATCTGAGGGGGAGGATGGTGGCAGTCAGCCCCCGCGGTGGTGACGGCGCTTGGGAGGATGCTCTGGGCAGTGGGATGGGGCTGAGTGGGATGCGGGACACTCACCTGGACAAGGAAGCCGTATTCCAGCGTAGGGACGTTCTTGCAGTGGCCGCCAACCTGCGACGGAGCCAGAGCGGAGCCAGCTGCGTTATCCCCTTTCCCCTACACACCCCCACCTCCACGTGGCACCGGCAGCCCCCAAAACGCCCCCCCCGGCACAGCGGGACCCCCGACATGCCAAGACCCTCCTGGGGACGCAGCCGCAGCGGGGACGTTGCACCAAGATGGAGGGTGAAACCCCGCAGGACCCCACAGCTGGCGTCCCAGCTCACCCACGAGCACCCAAGGGTGCTGGGGACAAACCCCGCGGGGGGTCCCCCCAACCCAAGGAGGTCCCACCACCCCACGACAAGTGATCCGACCCCGGAACAGCCCCCAGGAATCCAGGAAGGGAAAGGAGAGGAAAGCAAACCCCGAGGCGGGGAGGCACCCACCAGGATGTTGAAGGGGGCGACACCTGCCTGGGTGCTGGAGGGGGGGTAGCCGAAAACCTCCACCTTGGGGTTCTTCACCGTACAGGAGATGGAGCGGTTCATCAGGCGGTTGACACGAGCCTCGGGGATGCCCAGTTTGCCCTTCAGCACCGAATCTTGGATGACGGGGAAGCTGGGAGACCTGCAGGCACAGAATCCCCTTGAGATCCCCAGTTTGTCACCTTCCCCTACTCCTCCATCACCCGGAGCCGAATTCATCCTTCGGCTGGTTTTTGGGAGCAACCTCCACTTCCTTGGGTTCTGGTAGGGAGCAGCAGCATCTGAGGGGCGAGTGGGGAAACTGAGGCATGGTGCCAGGTCCCCAGCCGCCCAGGGTGAGGGGACAGAGGGTTGGTCCCTTGGGGACACTTACTTGGGGATGGGGGAGAAGATGCTGAGGCCAGCACGAAACTTCTTGATGGTACCGCTTGTCTTGAACCAACTGTGCCGCTTCTCCTGCTGGGTCTTCAGGAAATCGTTGCTGAGATGTTTCCATTGCTGGGATGTGAACATGCCCAGGATCCTGGCAGAGAGGTGGCATGGGTGCCCGAGTGGGGTGCCAGCACCCGTGGGTGCTTCAGTGCCCACTGAGCCTTGTGCTTGGGCAGTCCGTGCCACCCAGCTCCTCCTCTTCCCCACCCAAAGCTGGTGGCGAGCCCATCACAGGGCTGTGTGGCAGATAAAAGGTGGTGGCGTGGCTACATGCGGTACCTGGCCGCTTTTGGGGCAAAACAGTGACCCCGTGGAGCACCCCACCCACCTCCCTTGGGTGCCCACCGCGTTTTGGCTCTTACTTCTTCAGCTGCAGACCCAGCCCAAAGCCCTCCTTGTTCGATGGCTGGAAAACCTCGATGGACGGTTCTGCGGGGAGAGAGAGGAGGACAAGCTGTCGGTGCCACCGCTGTGCCCGTCCCAAGGGCACACGAGGATACCGTGTCCCGCCCGTCCCCGCTCACCAGGGCCATCGAGGTACTGGGAGAGGGAGAAGCGCAGGCGGAGGACGATGGGCTCCGTCCGCAGCACCTTCCACGCCGTCGCCACCTCCTCCTGCAGAAGGACAGCCGCGATTTGGCACAGCCGTGGGGAACCCCAGCCGGAGAGGGAAATTTGGGGGCCCCCTGGGGCGTGTGTCCCAGCCCTCCCCACGCCAGTGCTGTGGGGGACGCCCTGGGGACTCACATCGAGGAAGCTGATGTTCACGTGGAGGTCGATGTCCACGTCGTCAATGGTCCCATACTCCCTGTGAAGACACGCGGCACCACGGCGGGGGAACAGGGTGAGACCGGCACAGTGCCGGAACCGCTGTCCGGTGCCCACTGTGCCGGGGTAGGCATGCTCGTGGGGCAGTGACAGGCACGTGTGGCTCCCCACGTATCAAGTCTGTGCACCCCTGAGACCAGGATGGCACGGGGAGAGTGCCAGGATCATGGCTGGCTGCCTGGGGATGGCATAGTTGGGTGCCCGGGGATGGCAAGGC